TTTAGTTGGCTGATTGGGATAAATACTCAATATTCTATGACACAAGACAGAAAATATAGATTTAACTGAATTTAAAATAATTGATATATAAATATTCTTGCTGATTATTTTCTTATCTACCTAATAATATAAAGTGATTAATTTAGGGCTTTGTTTTTTTAAAAGCATCAATGTCAAGGTTCTTTCCTTCAAAGTACTTTGAAGTCAAAGAACTTTGAAACTTAACTAAAGCTTACAGCTCTTGTCTTCAGTTTTAATTCTAAACAAGATCAAATTAATGAATATGGGGCTTAGGTTTTTCTGATTTTATAGTCAGAATTATTTTTAATATTTCAACATTGAATATAATCATTAATTAGACTTATGGATATTTGGAATTCTCATTATCCTTGGCTTATTAAAAATTTAAAAACTGAATTAGGTGGTGGATTTTGGATATTCATTGTATTATTAAGATTTTCTGTACATCTGAACATTATATAATGAAAAGTTTGAAAAATTAAATCTATTAAATTATGATAAACATTTTAGAATATTGCAGAAATAATAAAAGAAGGAAGGGGTCAGTCATAGGAAGGAACACAGTAGCTCCTTGAGTTGCACACAGGCAGCCATTACCCTCTACTATTTGTCCTTGTGGACAGAAGGAATGTTTGGTGGTGTGATGGGAAATATTTAGCTTAGATATAATAAGGAATGTTCCTTTGAAGGAGACCATGCAGCTTCTTGCCCTGTCCTTAAGAACTTCATAGATACTCTCTGTCTAGGATGGTGGCAATCACCTGAGGCAGGTGCTGCCCTTTGGTTGGAGAGAGGCAGATATCAAACTGGTTCCTCCAACAGACCTGGGGGCTGCCACTATTCATATGTACGTATAGAGTTAGCAGGATAGTACTAGGTAGGGAGGTAGATTAGTTTCTGCCTGCAATAGACCCACTGGTCTCCACAGGCTTCCCTATGTGGATTAATTAGCCTCTGCCTGGCATCTCAGGCAGAACAGTTCAATAGAACTGAGCACAGGGCAAGGAGAGACCCTGCAGATCATGAAGCCCAACTGTTTGTACTTCTGGTGATGAAGAGCTCATACCACTTCCAGAAGCATGGGATTTTCCAAGGGAAACAATCTTGATACCATTAGTTGGGCAAATTTCTGCAACAGTAGAAAGTAATTTATGCAAAAGATTAGTTGGTGCTGATTATATCCAGAGGCATATGGAGACTATTTAGTCTAGTGGATAGTTTCCAGAGAGCCACAAATGTAAAACCTCAGGGAACAGGCTCTGCATTTTTCATCTTGATTTTAATCCTGATATGCCCATTGACTAACTATGTAACTTTGGAACCAAGTGCCTTAGTGTCACTGTGCCCCAGTTTTCTCCTCAGTGGACTGGCTATTATAATAACACTTCTCAAAGGGTTTTCTTGGAGGATGCACTAAAATAACACGTAAAGAGCTTGGAATGATACATAGTTGACTATTATTGTTGTTGACTATTATTATTTAGCTTAGTCACATTGTATCTTCTTTTTCAAGCCCATGCTCCTTGTTTTCTAGTTATCTTCAACAAATTCTAAATCATCCAGGGATGAGAAATATCTATTTATTCTTGGAATTTCCTAAGTCACCCAGCTAGAGGGGCTTTCAAGGCTCCCCAGGAACTTCCTGCTTCTCCAGATCTCTGACCCTGCTTTTGGATTCTTTTGGTGAGAGGCCAGTGAATCATACTAGGGAAATGACTTTGGAGTCTCTCCTGTGTTCTGTTGAGCTCAAGGTGTAACTGTGGAGATTCACTGAACTCAACCCTAGGCAGTACCAGAGACCTTGCTGGGTTATTGGAGTAACTTCCCTAACAATTCCTTGTTATAAGGTATTTTTTGGAGACTTTGTGACACTGCGTATCTAGTACAGACCTGATATATTTGGATTGATTCCAAGTTTCTATGAAACTTTGAAATGTGAAGTCCCAAGTAGTGACCCACTAAGGAAAACTTTCCCCTCTGTGGAGTGAAGCTATAGGCTTCTCTTGAGATTCTTCACAACACTGTGCTAACAAGGCCCCAGACACTTCTAATCCCTTGTCTGTTGGTTGCTCTAACTTTAAGATTGGAAGTTCCAAATCCCTTGGCTATTGATTTCTCTAAGTTTAGGACTGGAAATTTGTCCCTTTCCCCAAGTTGCAGAGCATACTAACTTTGGATAAATTTTAATGAGGCTGTTGAAAAAGTAAAGAAAAAATGGTAGGCAAGGCCCTTCCAAGGGCAGGAGCAGTGGGGCTAAGGCCATAGGCAGAGCCACGTGCACTGTTTGGCTATCATGGCCAGAAGTGGACCACACTCCATAGTACTATCTGATATCTACATATTTATATTTGTTCGTTTTTCTTACTAGAAGGAAAACTCCATAAAGGCAGAGACTTTGACTTGTGCATCTCTCTAAAAATCTGGTACAATTTCCTCTCCCACAGCAATTGTATGAAAATGTCCATGTTTTTCACCATTGCCATTGTAGATATTATCAACAGCCTTTAAATTTTTTGTCATTCTCCATGTAAAACTAGCATCTCATTATTGTCTTTTATTTCTTCTATTACTAGTGAGGTTGAGCATCTTTTCATATGTTTATTGGTCATTCATGTGTCTCCTGTGAATTACTTAATTCATATACTCTTTACATAGATAAAACATTTATTTTTCTGCTGGATTCCTTTTCCTTCTTTCTTGAGACCAGGTCTCACCAAGTTGTGCTGCTTCAACCTCCCAAGTAGTTGGGATTATATGTGCATGCAATCATGCCCAGCTTTGCTTTTCCTTTTCTGATTGCTTGATATAAACTATTTTCATTGCTTATAAAAATACCCTTCAATTCTGCAATCTTCTGAGAAGGAAATTGTTGGTCAAATGGGCAAAAATGTATGTACAGGTGTCGATCACACCTTGTTTAAAACATAAAAATATTTAGAAGCAACTTTAAAATCCAACAACAGAGAAGTGGATGAATTATGGCAGTTTCTCACAATGGAAGACAGTGCAACAAATAAGAATAATGATGCATTTCTGTAGATTGTATATGTTTTGATGCAAAAAGAGATTTAGCTGGGTGCAATGATGCATACCTGTAAACTCAGCTACTCAGGAGCCTGAGGCAGGATGATCTCCAAGTTTGAGGAAAGTTTCCATGCTCATGAGCCAGTAGTGAGAACAGAGCATCCTGAATGACCTTCTTGACTCCTCTTGCACCTGCTCCTAAGAGGTGTTTTTGCATTGGATTGGGTTTGGGGAAATCATATCAACATTATTGTACAGCCTTCCAGAGAAAAGTGACTCTTGGGCAAGCAGGATGAACTTTTAGGATCATCGGCCCTACTTGTACACAAGGGCTTTCTGGGTCAAGAGTCAGAGATACAGAATCCCTTAGATAAGTGACTGCAGAGCTGGGGCATCAGAATCCCCTAGGAATGCCTTTTAATGCAGATTTGATGGTCAGATTTCTTTCAGGTTTATTAAAGGAGTAATAGAGATCAGAAATCTATATTTTAAAAAATGGTTCCAGGTTGTTAAATGAGCAGGTTTGGTAACCACTGTACCATCTCACTCAGCGCCTTCTTGAGGAGGGTGATAGCATCACTTGGTGTTGACACCTTGGTGTTGTTCCTTTAATCACCCAAACATTTTTTACATCTTTCTCCACTAGTCAAGTCCAATCTGCCAGCATATCTGGCCTTTACCACTGTGGAGTCTCTGAGTTTTCCTGCAGGGAGGGACTCATTTTTCTCCAGGCTGTCCCCCACAGAGCAGTCAGAGTTGCTGTTTCAGAATCAGTCTGATCCTGTCACTCTTTACTCATCCAGACCAGAGCTCAGTTCCTTCCACTGCTTTTTAGGATGAACACATTCTTCCCATGACCAGACAGTCTGTGTGAGCAGGTGCTTCCCAGACTTACCTCAGAGCCATCCTCCCCCAGGGGCTCCTCCCTGCTTCACTTTCAACCTCAGCTGCCAGAGGCCTGCACCAGGCTTCCCCAATCTTTTATGGGCAGCACTTTTCTTCTCCAAGTTCTCATTGATTTACATAGTTATTAAATTAAGTATGTCTCTCCAAGTAGGCTGGAATTTCCTACAAAAGCAGGGACCATGTTTATTCATTATTACAGCACTAGAGCTTGGCTTATAGTAAGTTCTAAATACCTGCCCTCTTCCTCTATACAGCAATTTTCAGAGAAGACACAGGGTCCTGGGATGGATCAGAGATTTGTAACTCTTCCAGGTGTTCTATTGGTTCATTCAGTTGTTTGTCATGGCATATACAGTATCATATGCCACTCAGAGGTGTAATTCTGGGCTTACCTGGAGTCAGCCATACCGTGTGTCATGATTTGATCATTTTCCAACACTTGACATATCTCATTTCCTGTGACTTGTACAAAACATTTATTCATGAACTACGTCCCAGATATACCCCTGTCCTTTTATAGTTTATGTTGAAGGAAAAAGAGACGTTAAATAAGTGATCATAAGTTGAAGAGTTTTACAAACAGAAGTGTAGCACAGAGAGACATAAACAGGTATTCAAATTTAATTTGGGAGCTCACGGTAAGACTCCCCTACAAAAGGAATATACGAGCTAAGATCTGGAGGATGAGTAGGAGTTAGAACAGGCTGCAGGGAGCAGTACATGTGCAGACCCACTGAACTTTAGAGAGAAGGTGTCTAAAATGGGAAGCAGGGAGCCTCCAGTTCTGCTTAATTCTCCTCCTGTGAACTGGGGCTGAATCCATCCACACTCTGGGTTGACTCCTCTTCTATCACAAGTGGGTTTGAGATGGTCTGTGTTGGCCTGGACTCTGGGCCAGGTCCAGAGGGCAAACAGCACTAAACAGGACAGGGAGTGGTGTGTAAGTAGACCAGGGATTCCTTCTCCGACTTGGACACCACATGGACAATTGTGAAGTCAATACCACCTAGTACTCTCATTGCAGCAATATTAAGTATCATCACCACCAGTAGTTTTTACTTATTTCTTTATTAATATAGAAAAGGAGCCCAAGGCAGCTGGACCAGTAGTACACAGCACCAGGAGTTAATACTATTCTGGTGAAAGGGTTGGCTTTACAAAAGTGAAGGAGCAGACAGGAGCTGCCCTGCTTCTGGGGCCAGGCCCAGCCTACTGCCCAGACCTCAGAGCAGCACATGGAATGAGCCCCTGGGAGAGAGCTGACAGGTTCTTTGCTGGATGAGCTGGAGACCATGGGGACAGATGGTAGGGATAGAGGGTCAGGCAGTAAGAACCATCCTGTGGATGATGAGGGCAGGGGCCTGCTGGCTTGAGGCTCCCCAGTGGATCATGAGCAGGGGCTCTTAGTGGTCCTCAGTTCTGGGGGCAGGTAGAAAATGCTGTGAAAAGTGGTGGGCATGGCGAATCCAGACGTGGCCCTGGGGTGAAGGGTTTTCCTCCCTCTCTCCACCAGGAGCCACCTTTGCTCTATACTACACATGGGGCTTCACGCCCAAGGCACAAAGGGAGACTCAGAAGTCTCCCATAGGGAGAAGATGGGGCAAGGAAGGAAGTACTTGAGTGTCCTTAGTTTAGGCAGCCAGGACAGGCACAGGGCAGGACAGCAGCATGTCTGCATAATGGGGCTAGAATATGGGATAAGGATAGGCTTGAAGTCAGTCAGTGACCAGCCCCTTGGTGTCTGCCATGAATCTGCAGTATGCAGTGTGTGTCAGTAGACCTGCATTCTAGTCTTCACTCTGCCAGAACTATTATCACTCAGGGCCGTGTCACCATGTCCTGCCCTGGTCTCTTTCCTCCTCTGCCATTGAGGGCTTTGGATATGACTTCTGAGGTCATGGAAGTGAACAAAGCTTCAGGACCTGCTCTTGGTGGTGAAGTGGGACCCGATCCCAACCAGAACCTGGATGGAGTTGGCATGGGATAGGAGTGAGGAGGTGATGGAGAGGGAAGATGTTCTTGCATGGAACCTACCCCCATAAACACTCCAGAGCTAGGAAAGGCTGTTGGGAGACCTCCTCTGCTCAGAGGAATGAAAGGCCACATAGAGAGGCAACGTGGATTGGTGCAATTCCTTTACAACTTTCATCTGGGTGACACTTGGCATGGAGAGACTGGAGTGGCACTGGGCAACCCTTCATATTCTTCCCCAGGGCGGGGGAGCTCAAGGCCTCTTGTGACTTCTGCCTCCAGCCCTCAGCATGGGATCAGAAGTGCTCTTTTTCACGGTGGTCCTATCTTGGGGACAGCCTAAGACTCTGCCTGGCTGGCACATGTTAGTTGGTGAGGAAAGAACAGAGGGGTGACTAAGCAGACAGGGAGGTGAGAACAACTCTCTGGCTTTCTCCTCTTCCTCTAGCAAGAGCAGCTCAATCCACTGAGTCACAGATCTCTTCCACTACAGCATTAAAGATGTGCGGCTGGTCAGCATAGACATGGTGCGATGCACCCTCAATCTCCTGTGGAGAAAAGACCCATCAGGGTTGAAATGGCCCTTTATTCCCAATACTGGAAAGCTGCTCCACCATTTCTTCTCTCCTTAAACTTGCTTTTCATCCACCAGCTCTTATCAGAAATGTGTTATGGTTTGTCTCCCAAAAGCTCCTATACTGGCTAATGCAGGTGGTGAAATGATTGGATTATGAGGGCCATAATGCTTTCAATGGATTAATCCATCTGATGGAGTGATAATTTGAATGATTACTGGGTGGTCACTATAAGCAGGTGGGGGCATGCCTAGAGTAAACGGGTCACTGGGGGCATGTCATGAGGATTATATATTTTGTCCCTGGCTCCTCTAGCTCTGCTTCTTAGCTATCATGAGCTGAGCTGTTTTCCTCCACCACATCTTCTGCCATGATGTTCTGCCTCACCAGGGGCCTGGAGCAATAGAGTCAGCTGATTATGGACTGAATCTCTGAAACTGTGAGCCCAAAATAACTTTTCCTCCTCTAAGTTGTTCTTGTCAGGTATCTTGGTCATTAGCAATGCAAACTAACTAACTCCTAATGCTCTTTCTTCCTGGATCTTGGTACATTCCTTTGGGAACCAATGACTCTTCATATCCTGTTCTACTTCTTCTTTGGCCATTCACTGTATCTTTCCTTCCATGTGAGTTCCATCACTATTCTGCTCCAAAACCCAGGAAACCAGGGCTCATGGGTGGCACCCAGCCTAGAAACATGCTCCTTGGCAAATGAGGGGAGGGAATAAGAAAAAAGGAGAAGGCAGAAGTGTAGCAGCAAGTCTTCATGATGATCTCTACTATTCATGACACTGATTTGGGGCAGGAATTATTTGGTGAGGGGTGCTGGAGTGGCAATGTGTGTATGCCTGGCTACTGGACAAGAACCTGCCTTTTAGCTAATTGGGCTCTCCAGAAGTGGGAAGTCTCTAATTTTGATATTACCAAGACAGTCAAACATTTCAAATCTAATGCCCTAGCTCAACCTGTTCATTCCCCTTTTCGCCCTACTCTGATCATCCTTCTCTACCCAAGGCAGAGTTGTTTGACGGAGAGTCAATTAACATGTGCTATCATTCAAGTCACAGCATTTCCACCTTGGCTCCCCCTCCTTGGGTAGACTAACATACCATGTCTCGGACATAGGAATCTGGCCGCTGCATCTTCACTTTTTTTCCCGTGCTAGTATCTATCCAGGTGTTGGCCCCATAGATCATGGTGATGGGTACATCTTTTCGAATTAAATGAATTCGCTCCAACATGGGGCGCCGGGCCCAGCCAAAAGACTCCATCATGGCTTTGAATGCTGTTTCACCACTGACAGAAACAAACCAGGGTAAGACAATGAATATAATAAATCCTGCAGCAGACAATGTCAACTTCTTGGTCCCTTCAGAGGCTGGGACAGAATCTTAGTGCTGTTTGTATTTCCCTCAAAACCCAGCACTGGGCTTACTTATTAAATACTGGTAAGATTAGGAGATGATGGAATCATCACACAATGGAAAACCCTATGGCACAGAGAACCATCCAAGAGTGAAATGGACTGCTTTCATTCAACAAATATTTATGTGTCATGCCCTGGGCTGGTGAGGGAACATATGAATGATAGATGAGGTGTCTGCCCTCCTGAAGCTCACATTTTGGGAAGTTGAGTGTTAAACAGCTAATCATATGATTAAGCATTTAGCTTAAAATCTCTTGGGGATTATGAAAGGGTAGTAGAGAGCTGTGAAAGCACAGACTAGGAACTTAGCTTGTTGGGTGAGGGTAGGGGAACCAATTGAGGTGAACTCTGAAAAGTGAAGACTATAGCAATAAAGAGGGCTTCCTGAGAAGACTCTGGGATTAAAAAACAGTCTTAGGAAGACAAGGGGAATTATGATTTCTGCTAAAGATAGGCAACAAATGCCAACCCAATCTACTTTACTCTCTGGTCATTTCCTGGATAGAAGTAACTGAGGCCATATCATGAGGTATCTGCAAATCTAGCATAAACTCCAGCTTTCAGGGGTCTGAGCCATCTTTAAGGCTCTGCCTGTTTATTATGGTTATACCTCTGGTCTCCTTTGCACCCCCAGGATGAATTCTGCCAAGGCCACAGGAACCTGAGAACTTTTCCTTAATATGTCACAGCAAAGTAGATAAATCATGTAATTTGGAGTCAGACAGACATGAATTCAAATTCTGGCTATTTCCTTAGCAAGGCATGTAAACAGGATACACCTTAATTTTCTCATTTACAAATTTTCTCATGATTAAGAGAATGAAAATAAATACAAAACCCCTAAGTTTAAGTGAAGTGAAGTAAGTATCCCCTCAAACATTTTTCTCTTGGCCAGATGTCATGTTTTCTAAGGGACTGATCAAAGTCATCAGGAACTTATCAGTTACAACTCAAAAAACTCAGGGAATTATAAAATTGAGCAATGGCAGTTGCGGGTAAGGGAGATGATTATCATGATGTCATCTTTGCTTCCTCTAGGTCATGAATAAGTTGCAAGATTATTCTGTGACTTGGACTGGGTGGCTACTGTACAGAGCTAGGTCCACGGTAGGGAAAATTCTGAGGGAAGGGCAGGAATAGGCCTATGGGACTGGTGCTGAGCATGTGGGGGCTGAGATGAGCTACGAGCAGGAAGACAGAGGTGTCTGATGTGACTGAGGAGGGTTTTCGTTGCACTGCTTTACTGGGCCCTTCCATTAGCTGAACTCATGTGCAATGTTGGCAGGACAGCTCCCACACTACCCCAAAGTTCTCTGAGGCTAATGCTGATAGTATTGCTGGAAGGCAGAGCCCCACCTTCTTCACAGCTTTGGGCTCAAGGCAGGTAACTTGGAAAAGCCTAGTAGGGCAGTAAGTGACCTTAGCTCCCGAGATGCCTCCCAGCAACTTGGGGAGAGGACTCCACAAAGGTGGTGCCACCAAAGTGGCCTTTTGCTATCTGCCACTCACAGGACATCTATTATAGGAGAAGATTGCCTCCTTGGCTTGGCCCTGGCTGTCAATGTTGCAAAGACTACAGGCTGGCAAGAAATGGGACCTGTTGTGTCAGTGAGTTGCCAGGGATAGACTTTCTCAAGGTTCCAGGGACACCTTCAAACCTCCAGAAGAGTGGGAATTTGTGTCCCAATGATTTTATTTCAAAATGCACATAATTAAATCAAACACATACCCTTTCACTCAACAATTCTATTTGTAGGAATGTATTCTATAGATGTATTATATGTGTATATAAAAGAATATGTGCCAGGAGGTTCTCTGAAGCAATGTTTGGTGACATCTTAAATTGAAAATAATGAGGAAATTTAGGAACTTCAGGCTTTCTTTTACTTTGCTTTTTAAAAAATTACTATTTGTATCACTTTTTCAATTAAAAAAAAAAAAGTCTTTAAAAATGTTTCCTAGACTCTTGCCCATCAGGCCAACTGCCTATCTCTAGGGAAGAGGGAAGACCTTTCTCTAGAGATGGACAAAATGTTTAATTAATCTATTATCTTCTACATCCCTTTGTGCCCATCCCTGGAGAACCCTTTGGAAATGATCAAGCCTGCTACTACAAGTGTGTGTTCCCCTGAGCCAGTGCTTTGTAGAAGAAATAAAGCACAGCACTATATAGCGGAAATTTTTTCTTTAAACCATCCACCCCAAGTGGGCCCCGACAGCCGCCCTCACCTGGGATTCTGTGCATTGCAGTGGTAGATATACTCTGATATAGTATCATCTTCAAAGAAGTCTGCAAATTTACGCTTGAAGTCTGGCCGGAATCGCTGTACCAGGCCAGGCCCTAGGAGGGGATAGAAAAACATGAGTGGCCAGTTTGGGCAGTACAGGGGATAAGACTCCTGCCTGGGTATGTTTAAACAACTTTAACCAAATATTATTTCTCTGAAGCGTTTATTTGCTTTATGCATTTAATATTATAGTGGCAAAAAGAGTATAGAAGTCTGCTGGAAAACTCCAGATGACTTCAAATGATAGTTAGTTGGTCACCTAAGAATTTAAAGATAGACTAACATCACTGAGAAACCAGGTTATTTTCAGCTCAATGAAGTCCCAAGGTCTTTTCCTATAAGGACCATAAACTCCACAAGAGTCTATGGTGGAGATGTTTTTCTTATAGTCTGAGCCATGTTTTCTTTCTCCCTGGGACCCATATGGCCTTTTAACCTTCTGAAGGGAGTAGATGAAACTGGACCACCTCCCAAGAGTCCTCTCATTTTCAAGCCTGAAATAATATGTGGAGAGGTGTCCTTAACGATCTGGCTCAGGGCACTGTGTTAGAACAATCTGTTCCTTTCACCTTGCTTGATGGTACACATCCAACCAGTAGAGCACCCAAAGAGACTGTAAAAACTGAGCCTTAGGGTCAATTTCTCATCTTTCTTTCTTTTTTTCTGTTTGCAAGAAGTAGCTGGGGAGGTGCAGTGTAGATATCTATGGGCCCTGCCCCTCTGCTGACTCAGTCTTCCATGGTTGCCAGCCAAACACCCCAGTAGCTCTGATACACTGCACAAACCTGCCAGACCCAAGGCCAGAAAGGGGGATGGTGGTTAGAGCAGGGCTTCTCCTTGTAGAGAATCTGGTGGAGTCCACAGTGCTGGGAACACTAAGGTCAGCCCTCTGCCCACATACTCTCCTTTGGCATCTGTGTCTCTTGCTAGCCTTCTTTTCTTCTAGGACTCTTGAACTCCTACCTCCTACTCAAATGCTAATGACCTCCTTTATTGGAACCATTCTGTTTTTCTTGTAGGGACCACAGAGATAACTTTTATTTAGCCATTAGATTTAACTCACAGTAATTGACTATTGAACATTACTATGTATATATATATGCCATTAGAACAAAAAAAGAATCACTAATCTTTTCTACAAAGGAAATCTGCCTTTTACTTCATCAGAATAATAAATTTCCCAAAGTGAAGGGTGTGGACAATGAAAATATGAAGAGTAGAGCTACTAGTACTATACCATGGCTCCCTACTCTACCTCCTTCCTTCCTTTAACCCAAAGAATCACTTAGTACTCAGCAACCCAGAGAAGATGAAGATGTAGTGTTTTCTTGAAGCAGGGCATGGCTTAGAGGGGTGTGCTTGCCATTGTGAGTTAACCTTCAGGCTCAGGCTCTGACCCTCCCTGCTACAGGTGCTAGGTGAGCCCCTGGGATGGGATCCAGTGGTGGTTACTACACCTGAATCACAGATAGCTTGGTCCTACAAACTCATACATGTAGCAGAGAAAGAGTCACTTCCCAGGCTCTTTCTTTCCCTGAGGGTCTGCCAAGGTATGAGGTAGCTGTTCTGCTCTATCTATTCTCTACACAGCAAAACTTTAAGGGAAAAAATAACCCTCTGAAACACCCAAGAGATCTGGTCCAGATCCCACTTTTTATGAATAGGTGGAGATGGTGGGGAAACCAGATACAGCAGGGCTTGGTTGAATGAGACAGCCTTGCTTTAAGAAGAGGGTTTCTTTATCAGCAGGATACTCACCCCAGGGCCCAGCTACTCGAAGAACAGCCAGGGGATTGGAACGCCCCAGGACAGAAGCCACAGCCTTGACCCAGGTGGGAGGTGCACGGATCTCACTGGGGTCAGTTGGCCGGAGGGGAAAGCCCCAAGGGTCCACCAGGATAAGGTGTTTAACTCTATATTAAAGGAAGAAAAAGGAGAACATGCTATAGTCACTTGGCACCATAGCCCTTAAATCACCCAGGAAGAACAGGACTTTTGGAAATTAATGCTTTAAAGTTCCTACAAGGTAAAGAGTCAAGTCATGAGGAAGAGAAGTAGCTGCCTGCTTGTTACCTTTCAGGGTACTTGATAGAGTAAGAGGTGGCCAGGAATCCTCCCAAACTGTGCCCTAGGAGGATCATGCTGGGGATCCCCATGGTCTCCCTCCATGTCTCTATTGAGGTCACAAACTCATCCTCGGCCCCCTCCGGATCTCTTGGGAATGTTGGCCTTGAGCTTCGCCCAAAGCCAAGCAGATCAAAGGTGTGCAGTGTGCGGCGGGCACTCAGTGAATCCATGTTGAGGATCCAGAGGCCCACGCCGCCCCCAAAGCCATGCACCATCACCAGGGGGGTGCGGTCCTTTTGCTCAGGGCTCACAGTCACCGTCCAGATCTTGTTCTGGTTTGGGAGAGACACATATCGGGCCAGGAACTTGTTCTGGAGACCTGAGGAGGGGAGAATCCCAGGAGAAATCAACAAGACTGTTTTCTGACAGAAAAGTCATTTTGCATGGACTCCTCTTCAGATTTCTCTTGACAGTCCCAAACTCTTCCCAACCTCCCTCAGTTCTTCTCTTGTACAACCCTCTGACAACTGATCAACTCTCTTCTCGACCAAACTTTAGGCAAGCTCCTCTTGACCTTGGCACCTACCCTGTCTTCAGCCTGCCTACTACTTCATAAAAGGTGAGGTTAACAAAAATTCCCTCACCTTTTATAGTTGATCAAGTTCCTCATCTCATACCTTTGACCATCCTTCAGCATAAAGTCAATTTGATAAGAACTCCCCTGTCCTTGATATTTCCTCTTAGTAATTTTCCATCCTCTGAACCCTTCACCCTGTTCCTCAGTTATAAATGCCCCTGTCCTTGCAGTATTTGGAATAGTCTTGAATAGTCTTCCTATTAGATTCAGTAAGTATCAGAGTAATTCTTTCTTTTGTACCACATGCCTCAAAGAATTCAAGTCCAAGCACAATTTGTATACCATTTGCTTGTGAGTAGTAAGAGGAGCCATATTATTCCTTGATGTTATGTTCCCAGCTTGCTTTGGGCCCAGGGTGGTAGTGACACCACTGACACCATGCAGCCCTTGCATCCATCACTTTTTTTAAAATTTATTTATTTTTAATTAGGTATATATGACATCAGAATGTATTTTGATTCATTGTACACAATTGCAGCACAATTTCACATTTCTATGGTTGTACATGATGTAGCATTACACCATATGTGCATATGTACCTAGAGTAATGATGTTCATCTCATTCCACCATCTTTCCTGCCCCCATGCACCCTCCCCTCCACCCAAAGTTCCTCCATTTTTGCATATCTCCCCCATCCTCATTATGGATCAGCATCCACTTATCAGAGAGAACATTCAGCCTTTGTTTTTGGGGGATTGGCTTACTTCCCTTAGCATAATATTCTCCAATTCCTTCCATTTACCTACAAATGCCATAATTTTATTCTCTTTTAATGCTGAGTAATATTCCATTGTGCATATATACCACAGTTTCTTTATCCATTCATCTATTGAAGGGCATCTAGGTTGCTTCCACAGTTTAGCTATTGTGAGTTGAATTGCTATGAACATTGATGTGGCTGCGTTTATATAGTATGCTGGTTTTAAATTCTTTGGGTATAGACCAAGGAGTGAGATAGCTGGGTCAAATGGTGGTTCCATTCCAAGTTTCCTAAGGAATCTTCATACTGCTTTCCAGATTGGTTGTACCAGCATCTATCACTCTTGAACCTGGGACTTGGCAGCCAGGTGGAGGGAATTTTGGGAGTGTGTTGAGCCTTGGGCTTAGACACCAAGGTAGGTAGTTTTTGCTCTGTTGTCATGCAACAGAGTTGTCTGGGTGATATAGCCTGGATCTTTCCATTTTGTTGGGCAGAGTTGTAGATAAGGTGGCTGGGGGCAGTAGGGCAGGGTGGGAACTATCATGGGCTAGGCAGATTGAAGACAGGAGAGAAGCCAAGGTCAAGTCATAGCCCAAAGATCTTGTTTGAGCCATTAGCTACTGCTGTTTATGGGATGCCTTGCCTCAACATAATGTCTAGGAGAGCTGGTCTGTGAGAGTTTCAAACTGTGGTAAGTAGATAGGTGGTAGACCACAGCTGGGTAGAACACCACAGCTGGGCAGAACACAGGAAACAACGTTAGAGAATGTAGGATTGCTGGTCCTCAGAAAGGAAAATGGTAAGTTAATAAGAGCTTATGTGTTAAGAGAAAAAGAGAAAGAGGAAGAGAGGAATGGGGATAAGGAAGGAGGGACGGAGAGAAGTGTGCATGTGTGTTGTGTGTGTTGACACATTAGGGATTAAGGTGAAGTTGTAGGATGTGGCAGGAGCTGGATGGCTATGGAGAAGCCGAGGAACCACTACCATAGAATATAGAGTTCTCTGTGTGAATCTTCCCTCAGATCATTGCCATATTTTCCTCTACCCCATATACTGTTAATCAGAACTCAGTGGGCTCAGTGTACCCAGCTCTGGACAGATCCTGCATCTTTCTTGGACCTTCTAAGGGAGGGAGGACAAGTTGCACCTTCTACTTACACTGGAGGATCTTGGCTTCCACATTCTTCAGCTGAGACATAGAAGTGGGACGCCAAGTAGGCAGCCAGCTACTCAGCCAGCCTTGAGGCCTAGAACAAGGAGACACAGATATGTTTACTGGCAACATTGGAAAGGAAATACTGAAGCTCTCAGCCTTGCTGATAGAAGAGTTATCAGAGCACAGGGTGTTACTCAGGCTCAGGAGACCTGCCCACTATAGCAGTCAGCAATGCTCTACTGCCTGATAGACTGTTACTCTTCCCTGGGAAACGTCTGTTACCAACAACATGCCCATTGTTTCAACAGATACCATAAACTTGACAAAGCTCTTTGTCATTTATTATCTCATTTGTTTCAACTCCCCTTTGTTACTGGTTATCATAATTTATGTTTAAGGATATTAAAAGGGGAGAGAAAGCAATTTTTAACTAATATTTCAATTATCCTTTTCTAGTCTTAGGACTAGCTGTTCCTTTAGGGTTAGAAAGACAATTCCCATGCCACCTGCCCTCCTGGCCCTGTTTCAGGCTCCTACAAGTGTGAAGCATGTGCCTATGCCCAGTTGAGCTCTCAGGTAACCCAGTCAGCCCAGAACATGGAGATTGGGCAGGCACAAGGCAGTAGAACTGGGTTCAAGCCCCACTATGTTTCATACACAGAACACAGGTTAATTTTGGTCTTGTTTTCCAAGACCAAAGTAAAATGAGTTGCCTATGACCTCAACACACAGAATACAATAAAACATAAGAAAACCCATCCTGCTTTCTCCTCCATACTCAGTGACTTTAAGTCATTGCAGAGCAGAGGTTAAAATCACCAGTTTTGGAATTAATAAACAAACGAGCAACTCCTGGATATGAATCACAGTACTAACATTGATGAGCAGACAGGTGTTATTCAGTTAACCTGTCTAGATATGTAAGGAACCTCATCAGGTGCCCACCACAAATTAGATACTCAACGAATGACAGTTTTTGCTTTTCCTTTCTATCCTACATGATATTTCTTTTTTTCTTTAACTCTGCCTAAGTAAAGGGGGTTACAAGACAGATGGCTTCAGGAAGAGCCTGTGAACATCAGTATAATTAATGCAGGGGTATTCTGAGGGGAGGCTATAACCACAGCCCCCTTGGCACATGGTGGGTATCCTCATGATCATTTGAAGCCCAGAACTTTCAATTAGGATATTTCCTTAGAAGTACAGTTTAGCCTCTTTATTTTACAGGTGAGAAAACTAATGCCCAGGGAGGCCATATAGCATATTAGAGAGACCCTGTCTCAAAAAAAAGAATCCAGATCTCAAATCCAGGTTCTTCACTACCTCCTCCCTGGACCTTCTGGTCTCAGTTTTCAAGGCCATTCATGAACAAGTACAATATATAATCACATCTTCATGTGTGTGTTTTCTGAAGGGAGGTGTGATCTAAAACCAGATGGCCAGAGTTATAATTCCACCACTATCACTTAACAATGTAACTTCAGCCATATTAGTTTTCTGTATCAGTTTTCTCATCTTTAAAAGGGAGATAACAGTACCTACCTCATAGGATTATAGTAAGTATTAAATGAGTCAGTCCATCTAAAGCACATAAAATAATGCCTAGCACAAGATAAAACTCTCAACAAACCTTCTTTCCTTTCAGTTAAACCACAGGCTGTCTACATTCTTACTGTTTTGCAAGTTACAACTATCAAGAATGTTGGAGGTCTAAAAGAAAAACTTATGTTGCAGGTGAAGTGGTACATCAATGGTTTTAGCCAGACAAGAATTCTCAACCATCTAATCCTAGAGAGAGAATCCTTTTAATATTCTGCCAAAATTTCCTGATTGATTGAAGCCTGGGGACCAAGTCAACAAAATTTTGCCAGTTTCAAAAGCCAATCTTTCTCTCCATGTCATCAAAAAGACGGTCACAAGTCAGATCATAACATGTGGACCCCACATTGCCCTATAATTGTCCAAAGCCGAGCTCAGAGAGATACTGTCCCATAGAACAGCACCACAGGCTGCTCAGCAGATATTCCTTGGGAAGAGCTTTATTTTGCCTTTTTTCCTTTACCAAAAATTTTACAGGTAAACTCCAGGAATTGGTGCCTGGCACACTGTATCTGTTCAATGCTATTTGGAAGGTAAAGGCTAAGGCAAGGAGCAGAGAAGCCACTTAGCATCAACTTAACTTGGCCAGGGTGGTCTCTTTCATCCTGAAGCAGGTAAAGCAGAAGAAGTTCTGTGTTGGGAGAGAATCCTGTTCTAGACCTCTGTGATCTTGGTCAAGTCTCCAATTTCTAAGGGCACCAAGTTCTTTATTCGTAACATGGAGCTGAACATCTTACATCTCTTTCAGCTCTAATATTCTGTTTCCCTAAATCATTATAAGTTTTCTCTTGGAAAAGTAGTCTTTGATAGCAATACCCTCTAGGGAGGTTCCTTCAAGACCAGGAAGCTATTTATTATTGCGATACATTTAATTAGTTTTTCAGGCTATCAGTTTTGCAGGTCTGAAAGAGTGAATTCTGAGTCCAAGGCCCTGTTCCTGTGAAACCAAGTCTTGGTTTGGAGCTGAGTCATTCTCCAAGCAACTTTTTCTTGCTTCCATCAGACTGCGAACTGCTAGTCACACCACCTACAGGTGGCATCCTAAACCTGATGCCCTTGAAACAGTTAAAAAAAAAAAAAAAAAAAGCACCAAATCTAATTCTGAAACCACTGTATTAAGGACGTCGTTATGATGATTAAAAGCACTGTCAATAGAACTGTAAGCAACAACGTGTCTTGGTGGGCGAGAACTAATGTAACTCTCAGACCCATTACTTCACATCAATCCCGCGCAGGGGAGACCTCAGCGTTCTTCCCACGCCTTCTTGTCGGGCTAAAAGGCTCTTTTCACACCCACAACTATAGTCCTGAAGCGAGTCGGGACAAGCACCCTCAGCCGCTACCCCCGCACCCGCGTCCCCAAAGCTTGCTTTCGGGGAATCTTGTGCAATAATTACCACTATGTCTAACCCCTCTGTAGAGGAAAATGAGGGGCAATCGTGAAGACTAATTGGAAAATTCAAAATCACTGAGCTGCTGCAGCAAGCTCATCTACCATCGCTCCCTAGGCTCTGCCCGCCTCTTCTGGGCAAAAGCAAAGCAAGCAAACGCACCCCTCCAGCCCTCCCTGGAAGCCAACCTGAAAAAGGAAAGGCGGGAAGGTGTCTAAAATTGTTCCTCAGCCACAGACAGTCCCAGGATCATGGCCCAAAGAGAAAGAGAGAAAGAGAAAAGAGACAGGATTAACTCACTGCTGCTCCAGATCATCAGCCATAGTAAACAAGCCCTGCCGGGTCGAGCTGAGCCAGCCCATCCCTCTGCCTGACGCCAGCACCAGCTGACCCAGAAAAGTATCGGATAACAAAGGGGGCGTGGCCGGTGCGCCCGGCGCCAGAGGCGGGGCCAACGCGGTCCTGGTGGCCCCAGCGATCTGCAGGCAGCGGCAGCTGACAGGTGAACTTCGCCACTGCGGGTTGAGCTGGTGGAGCCCTTGGTGTTGTTTCCTATTACTGGCAGAGATGACTCTGGGTGAGGCGAGGTGTCTCAAAATAGGACAGTAATCCTGGCCACACATTTGGGGGACGGGAGATGGGTAGTGCTAAAACTCAAAGTCCCTCACAGAAGCTCCATCAGCCCTCCCTTCTCTCATCAACTACAAAGTCCCAAGTTTTCAATTCTGCGAATATGCCCACGTAATCGACAGGAGTATATTAAAATAGGTTGGAAATAGAGCTTATGATATTATAATTAGCTTATAATTTTATGCTACATATTATATTAAAGTTTTTATAAGTGTTCCACATCTGGGATGATGGGACAAATTTTTTAAAATGACAGAACCACCTCTGCATTCTGGAACACATGCTTTGGGCTTCCTTTTATGGCTCCCTTCCCCAGATGTCTTCTCTTGATGTTCCTTCTAATGGGAAGCTTAAAATATTTGTGGAAACATCAATGGTTGATCCTACAAAGAGCCTAAGAGCTTGTACCCCAAGTAGATTGTCAGATTTAGAAAGTTATTTTTAAAAACGGGGAGGTGACTCCTGGATAAATTTGAATTTCAGTTTTTATTTTCTTTTGTGATGAAAGTGCTGGGGGTTGAACCTAGGACTTCCCACATGCTAGGGAAGTGCTCTACCACCGAACTACATCCCCAGCCCCCAAATGAATAATTTTTAAGAATAAGCATGTCCCATACAATATTTGGACATAACTGTGCATCCTTACTAGGCCTTAACCTAGATGATGTCTGACAAAACAGACATTCCTCTGCTCAGGGGATGAGTCTGTAGCTCAACTCTGGTCTCCATCAGTTTGGAGATCTCAAACTCCAGAGGAGAGGAGTGCTTTGAGTATGTTGTTTATGTACCAGGGTGGGAGACATGGGAGGTGTGGTGACTGGCTTACCCTAGAGATCCTGAGTGTACTTCAAGCTGGCTCAGTAGAGGAACCAAATCTTGAAGCTGGCTGCAGAATTCACTTGAATTGGTAAACAGGGCTTGAAGTCCTTGGAGCTGCCAGATTTCAGATCATCCCCTTGGTTAGGATGAAACCAGACTGGAGTGGTAGTGGAGCATTGGTGGGAGAATGCTGGTGTAGAGGGATTTTCCAAGGCAATTTTCTTTTAAGTTTTCCTGCAGGACTTGAGAGATTCCAAGATTTCTTCTTTCTCATAAGTGTTAAACTGATCATTTATAAATATTTAACATTTAAGAAACTGGCATTTGCAGAATTTAGGGGGACTAGGAGTTTGCAAAACCAAACACAGGAGTCCTAAACTTCAGCATGCATAAGATTCATCTTAAAGAATTGTTTAAAAGACAGATCTCCAATCCCTACCCTCAGATTCTAATTCAGCCGATTTGGCTTCATACTAAAAGCTAAAATTTTTGGAAGTACTGCAGATGCTGGTGTTTGATGAGACCCATTGAACAACTTAGTGAGACCCTGTCTCAAAAAATAAAAAGGGCTGGGTATATGGCTCAGTGGTAAAGTGCCTCTGGGTTCAACAAAAACATAGGTTCCAGGCTCAGAAGGCTGGATTAAGGTCAATCTTGGCTTTGCCATTTATCTATTGCCCACCCTTGGGCAAGTTATTTTGTATCTCTTAATTTCTTCTTCAAGCTTGTGCCTTGTGAGAATTAACTAAGATAATTCAAATAAACATTTAGTATCCTTACTTGTGCTAAAAATGTTTCTATTATTCAAGCCCAAGCATTATGGTGGGGATTATGAATGCAAGTATCAAAAGGAAATAAATTAACCCATTAAGGAAATTAAAAGGAAAGAAATAATTCACTGGTACACATTGGTTTTCCATATGCTGCCACCCAATATTATTATTGGTTTTGTAGAACTGGCAATTTTGTATTCAGAGCTCAGCTCAAACTTTCCCTCTTCTGAGGCCTCTATTGACCAAAGGGTCTAAAAGAGTCCCATCATGCTATTTTCTTAATATTACTTATTACTATCTGAAATTATCTTGCATATTTTTTACTCATTTATTATCTGTTTCCCTCAATTGGAGATTAAGTTGTCTGATTCTCTGTTTTGCTCCCAGTACCTAAAACATATGTATAACAGATCAGTTGTTAGTACTTATAGGATAAATGAATGGATGAAAAGTCTAGTGAGGCTGGGTGAGACTGGGTGAGGTGAGCTGTAATTCCAGTTACTTTAGAGACTCTCAAATGTGAGGCCAGTTTGGCAACCTAGGGAGAATCTGTCAAAAAAAAAAAAAAAAAAGTCTGGGGATGTAATTCAGTGGTAGAGGGCCCCTAGGTTCAAACCCCAGTGTGTGTGTGTGTGTGTGTGTGTGTGAGGTCTAGTGAGGAGGCAGAGGCATATAAACAATTACTTATAAAACAATGTGCCAAGTGCCAAGGACTTTGGAAGCTGTAATTAATTGGGCCATGTAGGAAATTCTGACACAGGATAGCAAAATGTTCCACTTTTCTAAGAATCTATAAGATGTAAGATTTTTTTAAAGTACAGATGATTGGGCAAAACTGGTATTAAAACTCTCTAGACCCTACCTCAGGAGGTAGTGCAGAAAAGCATTTGTATTTTGTTTCCATGTATGCCAAATCAGCTTTTCTTGGAAGCAGGAAATTTGAATGTATGGAAGATGCCTTTTGTAATTAATGTTATTAGATCCCTTAAGGTATCTCCAGAGCTGGGATAACTCAGGATTAGGCTGGATCTGCTAAAATAGTACAAAGTGGAAAGGACTCTCAGTGCCTATTCTAGAAAAGCTTCTCAGGAGAAAATGTAAGGTGACTTTTTTCTTCTTGCCTTCCAGACAAGACATATCAAATACAAATGTGAAACAATAATTTTTATTCTAACTCCAACATGTGTGACTTTATATGATTAAAGTATTAATATGGCCAGACATGGTGGTACACACCTGTCATCCCAGTGACTCAGGAAACTGAGGAGGAGAATCCAAAGTTCAAGGCCAGCCCCAGAAATTTAGCAAGGCCCTCAAGCAACTTGGTGAGACTCTGACTCAAAATAAAAAATAAAAAAGGTCTGAGTATGTAGCTTAGTGGTAAAGCACCCCTGGATTCAATTCTAAGTGCCAAAATAAAATCAATCAATCAATAAAGACAGATGGAAATAAAAATAATAAAAATTAAAATGGACTGGGTATGAAGCTCAGTGGTAAAGTGCCTCTGGGTTCAATTCCCAGTACCAAAATAGTAATAATAACATACTAATGTGATTGTTTGGGGGGGGAATGCTGGGGATTGAACTCATGGCTTTGTGCATACAAGGCAAGCATTCTACCAACTGAGCTATAACCCCAACCCATTAATGTGGCCTTTATGAATGGAAATTAATTTGACAAATTCTCTTTTATGTTTGGAATATAAACATTCCAAAAGAAGGTGGAGCCGATAAACTAATAGCTCTGACCTTGCAGGAACAGATGATTTTTTGTTTGCAAATGGGCGTCACTTCCTTTTGAATGAACTATGAACAAGGTGTGATTCTTAAACTAAATGTAGATACTCAGTGTAACAGTTCTAAAGTTACCATGTCCAAAGACAGCCACATGTGGCTACTAAATTTTAAATTAATAAAAATAAAAATTTCCTTAGTCACATTAGCCATGTTTCAGGTGCTCAAAAGCCACGTGTGTCTAGTTGCTGCTATATTGAACAACCCAAGGACAGAAAATTCTACTGGACAGTGCAGTGTTGCTTGGGCACTGATGATTTCAGCTCCCCATTGCAGGGAGTACAATAACTATTATTAACCAAGGGTTAATAATGCCCTTGTAAAGGAAAATATGGTAGACTCTCTTCTGGGTACTAGGGAGGGAACAAGATTGAGGCTATTATGGGACTCTCAAAGAGCTGGGAGGGTGGGAAATCAGACAAAAGAGCCTGCGAGTTTTTCCACTCCCTCAGGGACTGGAAGCCTGAAGGAATATGGTTCATTGAAGATATCTGCTGCTTGACTAGGACTTGGATCAGAAACCTGATACTTTAGAAATTTGACTTTGTGCTGTCTGCAATTTTATTCCCCTTAAAAAAATTTCCTTTTGAACATAATAACTTGTTTTATCTGTTCTATTAGAAAACAAGGAAAAGAGGGGTTTTCATCAAATAGGGCCATAGTTTAAAAAATGGACTGTTAACAAGAAATCACAGTAGAAAGAAGCAACAGGAACTCTTAAAGCAAAAGAGAAAATACAAAAAAATAAGAATTGGAAAAGAGACTCTTATACAGAGATTTTTTTTTTAAATAATCCTTTTCTACTCAAATTTTGAAGGATTTGTGTTTCTTTTAGTAAAGAATGTACTTTCTCATTGTAGAGTGACAGGATGTAGAACCATGAACTTTGCCCATAGGGGAGCCTTTTTGCCTCTCTACTCTCCCATTGTTTTATGATGTTAATTGTTTCTGTAATAAAACCTCTAAGGTCTACTCTGACTTATGCTTCAGCTTATTAATATGATTTGGCCTTTTAGAATTGTCTGGGTTGCAGTCCTTCTAGTGCCATCTTGTGTGTGCCTAGAATACTGGGACTTTGGAGTGTGGCCAACTTTTAATTATTCAGAGAAATAGGGGAAATAGACATAGTTGATTTTCAGAACTAATAATATATATGTACATACATGTATATATGTAAATGATAAGAGTAAATACGTATTGAACATTTATTGAATATTTATTGTGTGTCAACCACTAATGCTAAGTGGTCAATGCTTAGCATGATCTCATTTAATCCATACAACATTCCAGTGACTTAGATATTGTTATTTTCATTTTATAGAAAAGGAAAATGAAACTGTCAGACTCACCTGTTGGGCTGGATAACTAGT